CTATGTCACCCGGAAGCATCCTAATTTTCTTAGGGTTTGGGTTGTCAGCAACTTTCGCCAGTTGCTGATAGTCAGCCACGAAATTATCTTGATCGGAGCCAGAAGCCTCGGCTCCCGATCTTTCAGCGGCCTCAGCACCGCCGGATCCTTCCCCGGATCCATTAGAGAAGGCGGCTTCTTCACCGTCTACCTCGGGTACGCTCGAGCTCCCGGAAGAAGAGGGAGCCTCCTCATCAGAATTGCTGCTCCCCTCCAACTCCTCATATTCCCCATCCGAAATAACTTCGTCGGCAGGCACATCCATAGTGCGCCGGCTCTTAGACTTTCTGGCCGTCTGTTTGACTCTGGCCATTGTGTCCTGCACATACACAGAGAGGGAGGAATTCAGAGATGAACACAGCAGTTCTGACAGTCCAGAAAAGGCACCCCTTGTTCTAGACTCAGTCGTTCCGGGAGACCGGCTGAGTGTCCTAGGCAGTGTCGAGTGTGTGGATTGAGAACTCATTTTATTTCTATGACTATGTATAAAGACGAAAAAAAGAATGCATACAAGTTGGAAAAGAAAAACTAAAAATGGTACAGGCGGTTACCTTATGTTTAACTCAAAAAACTGAAAACTGCTAAGACGGTGACCGGGTGTTGCAAGGTTAGCACACGGAAACCCGGAAAACTTTGATGCAGACGGAAGCAGAGAATCTCTCTCTAAAAATCTCTCTTTATCTCTCTAGAAAGTCAAATGAAAATGAAGTGAGGAGAGGGGGGTAAACTTCTATTTATAGAAGGTGAAAACGGGGGCAACCCCGTTTAAATTTCAAATTTTACTATCCGTTATTACTGTTCACCTTTGATAGGTGGACACGTGTCACAGGCATCACGTGACATGTGGAGCAATGAGAGGAGGCCACGTGTCAAGTTCAGGATGGCCCAAGTGGCCTAAATAGCCTCCTAACACGTGTCCCCTTTAGATAAGCTTTTGAAATGGCGGTCTTCAAGGTCCCAAATCCCAAGAGGTGACGTAATTCGGCGCAGCCCACTAAAACCTAGATCAAGTGACCTAGATAGGGGCACTTCTACCAATGACCCTTTAAATAGGGAGATATTTCCCCATTTTGGGGACACATTCAATCATTTATTACACCTATTTTCTCTCTCATCAGAGAAACACCTGACACCTAAATTTCCGTACTCTTTATTTTCTTTCAAGTTACTAACTTGATCTTCGGAGGCGAATCTCCACCACCCGGAGTCTGCGTTGTTTTTGGAGGAACAGCTCAGTTGGACCAATCCTTGTGACGTAACTCTCCCAAGGGACAAAAACATCCAAAATAGAAGTTTTAAATCATATGTATTTACCTGGACGGCCTTACTCTTGGGTCGAAATAACTTAAGGATAAATCGATGTAGCATGCAAAAAGCTGGAAAACCAATAGAACTAGATTTGCTAACACCGGACTCTCAATTTGTTCGATCAGTTATATGTTTCCAAAAAGTGCTCGAGTTAAAGAAATAGTAGCTTTTATTTCCCTTGAATTTCATAAACTCTTTTGGACCCATGACACCTTCATTCGGCCATCCAAAAGTCGTATTCACATCATCCCACGACATTATTTGTTCATTTCCAGCCAAAGAAAATACCACATCTCCCTTACTTGATTGAACAACAAGTGAGGCAAGAAATTCAATGAAAAGTGATGGACAAATATCATTATCAATATGAAGGACCTCACTCCACTAATGTGTTCTTGCAATGCTATCAAACAACCATTCAAACCTAAGCTTTTTAGCGTCTGAGAGAGAAAAGTAAAGAGTGTATCCCATGGTCCGATCTTTAAGCTTCTTTGCACATTGTTTTTGGAACTCGGTTAACCAAGAAAGTGGAGTTGATGGTGACGGAGGGAGAGGTTGGACTCTAGATGGTGTTTTAGGTGTGGAGTTTTCGAGATTGGCTTTGATTGTGTAGGTCGTTTTGTGGGTTTGGTGGGTGGCTTTTTTGTGATTTTTCGAGAGTATGCGTTGGGGTCATAGATTGTGTAATACCAGAATATTTTATGATTTTATATATATATTCTATAAAGAATAGTTTATTTTTATTTATTAAATAACTTTCCTAATCTCATATTTTTATCTAGAGTTCGGAAAGTTTTAAAACCCTATTTTAATTTAAATAGGACTCTTTTATCAACATCTATATATATTACTAAACCATAATTATTTTAATTGAGTTTTTATTGCTTTATGATTTATTTTCTACTTCTGCTGTTTGCATATCTTTTGTGATTGATTTCTTTACCAAGCAATATCTCTAAACCTATATTAAATTTATCTTGATTCATGATTCAACCATACTTTTACCCATCATCACACGATCATAAATACCTTGATCTTCATCATTCTATAACTCTTTCTAGTATAAACAAAGTCAACTCATCAAGAAACCCAACCCATTATTTTATTCTAACTCATAACCGCAACCTTCGTTTCAACGATTCATGCAAATTATAAGCACTTTGCATATTTCATATAAGTCATCATATTTCTTGGAATTCTTTATGGGAATATAAACAGTATTCTACAAGGAGCATCAGCCTCATGTATGTATGTAGATTATTGCAATTTTAAAGATGTGTGCTCGTGTGACCTCGAAATCGGCTTTCCGGAAGGTAATCATCACACAAAATTTTGGAGATGTTCCGCAAGTATTATATTTCGTATTGTTATGTGTGATATGATTTATTATTTATACTCTATATTATTTTTATGTGTAAATTTTATAATTGTAGTTCGTGTGATCAAGTTTGTATATGTATATGATTGATTATTGGTATTATATGATTTGATTGGATTTGAGTATCGTATTACTTTTATTGGTTATAATTGATTATTACTAGGGTTTTAATGTTGTTTCTATAGGGAGTATTGTTTTATCGAGGTTTATGGTTACTAATGCATAGTATTATTTTTCGGTTAAGATTTGATTATTTTTGGGAACTAGTTTTATTTCCCTAAGAGTTGAGATGTTTTTAAATTGAATTGAGTTGATCTTGTTATGTAATTTGGGAACATGTGCCAATATTGAGATATTATAAATTAATTTGTGAATGGTTATTTGATCGATGTATGAGATCAAAAGGTTGAGAATGATTATTTTGTTCTTGGTTTGAGGCTCGGCGTTATAGATCATAGTCCTTGGCATGTTGGTAAGAGGATGATAATCATGAGTTAAGAATGAGGTACAATCTTTATTATTCATTTTTCTATGTTCCTCAATATTGGGAATTGGCCCGTATATGGTCTGGTTCAAGGTGTTTTCTAGTTTTTGGGAGTATTCAAGTTTTTATACTTGTTGGTTTGTTATTCGAATTACTTATGCCCAGGGCTAGGTATAGAACAAAGAGCATGACACACTTATTGGTTATGAGTTAGTTGAGTAAAGGATTATTATTCGAGGTTGAGTTGATAAAGGTTGTTTTTCAGAGTACAATGTGTAATGTAGTTTCGATTTACATTGTTTAATTGATATAGTAATGTTAATTATTATATTATACTCTATATTCTGATATGTGGTGATTACTCAGCTTTTTGCTAACGTGTGTGTTGTTTTATTGTACTATTTGTGTTTGCGGCCATGTCTTTTTCTTATGGTGGCCCTGCGACGATCTATTTTGGAATTTGTCCTTAATGGTGAGCAGTCAAATTGTTTAAGCAGGTTGATCAAGTGATCGTAGCTAAAGGAGCTCAAGTGTCTCGATTAGTTTGTTATAACAAGTTTGTAAAGTTGTATAAATAGCTCACTTAGATTATTGGGTTGTAATTATTGGGATTTGTAAGCCTTAACACTTGACAGGTTGTTGAGTGTAGCGGTAATACCTCCGATTTAGGTGTATGCTTCCGCACTTTTATTTAAAGGTTGTCTATTTTTCCTTTATTTATTGTTTATTATTAGCTAGTAAATCAGGGTGGTTACAGAGTGGCTTGGGTGTCGAAGAGGTTCGTGTTCTTGTCCTCATGGTGAGAGTGATGAGAAGTTTAATCAACAAATTATCACAAACCAATGAACAAGAATAATCCAAAGCCAAATATGTGTCACCCAAAATAATTCAAAATCAATCCACATAAAGAATGTACACAAAATAAACACTACCACACCAACTTGTGAAAATAGATGATAAAAAGGTAAAAACTCAAGAATAAGTACAATTGTAGAATAGTAAGAGATGAAAAATTTGAAATTTATACCTCTACAATGATAATTGTGGATCAAAAATATGTTAAACCTCTTATAATAGTCCAATGATACTTCCAAAATTCCCAATTTGATGTCACAACCTTGCAATTTCAAAATTCCTAATTCAATTTTAAAAGTTAGGGTTTGTGAAATTCAAAAGGAAGAGAAGGATTATTGTGATAGATGGTGAGAGGAGGGGGGAAGGTGTGGTGGGTGGTGGTTGCCGGTGGGGTAGGGTGACGATGGTGGGTGTGGTTGTGGTGGAGGTGGCGAGGGGAGAGGAGAGAGAGGGGGAGGGTGAAGGTGAAATTGTCGTTCTATTATTTCTCTCTCTTTTTTTTCTTTTTTTCGGTTTTGTTTTTTGTTTTTTCTTTCTACTGGCCTGCTTCGCCAAAACCCGCGGCCACGAGCTGGCAGTGGCTGTGCAGGGGGTTAGGAGGGCGTGGGACAAGGGCGCAAGGTGGGGCTTCGGGTTTATGCTGCTGTATTTTTTTTAAAATAGAAAAACCTTCACTAAAAGAAAAACAAAAAAAATGTTAATAATGTTAGTGAAGAAAAGCAAAATAAATTAAAACTATAAGAAAACTAAAAATAAATTAAAGAAAAATTAAAAATCGTGTTGCCTCCCGATAAGCGCTCATTTAAAGTCATGAGCTCGATTCCTTACCTCAATATCAAGCATTAATTGATGGATCGGAGAGATAAATCGTCTTCAATTTGCCGATAAAAGCACCCTTAGTATATAGCTTCAAACGTTGTCCATTTACCTTGAATTTCATGCCGTTTTTTCTAGCAACCTCAATGGCTCCATGTGCTTTGACATTGGTGACTGTGAAAGGCCCGGACCATCTACACTAAAGCTTTCCAGAAAAGAGCCGAAGTCTTGAGTTATAAAGAAACACTTTGTCGCCAACCTTGAACTCTTGTTTTTTATCATCTTATCATGAAACTTCTTCGTTTTCTCTTTGTAGAGCCTATGGTTCTTGTAAGCATCAAGCCGAATCTCATCTAGCTCAATTAATTGAAGAAGTCTCCCTTCACCGGCCTTCTCTAGATCTAAATTAATCTCTTTGACGGCCCATTGTGAAAGATATTCCATTTTAACCGGTAAATGACAAGCTTTGCCATACACCAACCGATACAGAGTTGTCCCTAACGGAGTCTTGTAAGTTATTCGCAATGCCCACAATGTATCATCCAACTTCAATGACCAATCTTTGCGGGAGTTGTTGACTACCTTTTCAAGGATTCTCTTGATTTTTCGGTTAGACACCTCAACTTGGCCGCTCATTTGAGGATGATAGGCCAAGCCAACCTTGTGAGTAACTCCATGTTTCTTGAGAAGAGCTTTAAAAGTTCGTTGGAGGAAATGAGAACCACTTTAACTAATAACAACTCTGGGGACTCCGAAGCGCGGAAAGATGATCTTTTTAAATAGCTTCATAACGACCTTTGAATCATTAGTAGGCGACGCAATAGATTCGACCCACTTGGTGACATATTTGACGGCAACCAAAATGTACCAATTCCCACATGAAGAGGGAAATGGTCCCATAAAACCAATGCCCCAGACATCAAAAGGCTTGACCTCAAGGATCCCATTTTGCGGCATCTGGTGCCTCTTTGATATATTTCATGTTCTTTGACACTCATCACATGCATTGCAAAAGGCACGAGCATCCTTGAATAATGAGGGCTAATAGAAACCACATTGAAGCACTCGGTAGGTAGTTGCAGCATAACCAAGATCGCTAGAAGGTAGATTATGGCAATGATGAAGGACACCATGAGTATCCCAATCTGCTACACATCTCTGAAACATTCCATCAGCACACTTACGATACAAATGAGGGTTATCCCAAAAGTACTGCTTAGCGTCATGGTAGAACTTCTTGCATTGTTGGTAAGTCAAATCCAGAGGATGTGAATTACCTACACAAAAATTAGCATAGTCAGCATACCATGGAGATACAGAAGAAACAGAGAATAAATTATCATCAGGGAAAGAGTCATTTATAGGGCTATCCGAGGTAAACTGAAATCTCAATCGAGGGAGATGGTCTACAACAACATTCTCTGCGCCGTTTTTATCTCGAATCCCTAAACTGAACTCTTGAAGGAGCAAAATCCGTCGAATGAGCCTCGGTTTAGCCTATTTCTTTTCTAGGAGATACTTTAGAGCGGTATGGTCAGTGTGGAAAATTACTTTCAAACCAATAAGGTAAGTTCAAAACTTGTCAAGAGCAAACACAATAGCTGGGAGCTCTTTCTCAGTAGTGGAATAATTCATCTAAGCCTCATCCAAAACTTTGCTAGAATAGTAGATGTCATGTAAAACCGTTTTATTTCGTTGTCCAAGCACGGCTCCCACAGCATAGTCACTTGCATCACACATGATCTCGAATGGCAAATCCCAATCTAGAGGTTGTATGATTGGAGCAGTTATCAATGCCTCCTTAATCCTGTTAAAAGACTCCATACAAGCATCATTAAACTCAAATGCGGCATTGTTAAGCAACAATTGAGTGAGGGGTTTCGCTATTTATGAAAAATCTTTTATAAATCAGCGATAAAACCCCGCATGACAAGAAAACTTCTCACTCCCTTAACATTCACGGGAGGGGAAAGTTTCTCAATCACCTTAATTTTTTCTTTGTCAACTTGGATGCCACGATTAGAAATAAGATGACCAAGTACCACCCATTCATTGACCATGAAATAGCACCTTTCCCAATTCAAGACCAAATTAATGTCAGTACAACGTTTAAGCACCTTAGAAAGATTATGCAAGCATATATCAAAGTCAGAACCATAAACACTGAAATTATCCATAAATACCTCCATGATGTTCTCAATGAAATCAGAGAAAATGGCCATCATACACCTTTGAAATGACGTAGGGGCGTTACACAACCCAAATGGCATTCTGCGATAAGCAAATGTACCATAGGGGCATGTGAACGTCGTCTTCTCTTGATCTTCCGGGTGAATGGAAATCTTAAAGAAACCTGAATATCCTTCCTAATAACAGAAAAAACTATGTTTTGCTAACATTTCAAGAATTTGATCTATAAAAGGTAAGGGGACATGATCTTTCAAGGTGGTCGTATTCAACCTGAGATAATCGATACACATACGCCAACCTATTACAACACAAGTAGGAATTAGTTCATTCTTATAATTTTCAACAACAGTTGTCCCAACTTTCTTAGGAACGACTTGTACCGGGCTTACCCACTTAGAATCTGAGATAGGGTGGATGATGCCCGCGCCAAGAAGTTTCATTACCTCTTTCTTCACCATCTCTTGCATATTAGGATTCAATCGACGTTGTGGTTGGATGCAAGGGAGATGATTCACTTCCAAATTAATTCTATGCATACAAAATTATGACTTATCCCTGTAAGATCATTAATGTTATACCTGATTTCCTTTTTATGCATGTGAAGCACAGTCAAAAGCTTAGAAAGTTGGTTATCATCGAGTTTAGCAATAACAATCACAGTGCATTCCTCCTTATCATCAAGAAATGCATATTTAAGATGAGAAGGAAAAGGTTTTAATTCTACCATTTTACCTGTGACTCAGAAGTAGAACAAACAATTTCCATTACCTCAAACCCCTCAGTGTTAGGGGCATCCAAGTCACAATTCAAGGAGTCAATCTCTGCATCTCCTTCTCCTTGAACAGAAACTAACAGGCTAAAGTCGTATCACCTAATCAAAAGTATTACCTAAATCCTCTAACTAAATTAGATAGGGAAGTATGGTCGAATCTACAAAGAAACTGGTCTTTGTATTTGTAATTAATTTAAGCAATCTAAATTACTAAGTAACTAATTATTATAATTGAATGGGAACTAAACTACTAAGATTAAAGGTAGAGAGAAATCAATGAATAAAAGACCTAGGGTATAGTTTCACCATTAAATAATATTCCAGGGTGTAACACAATAATCAATCATCAATGCATCAATTAATCAGATCATAAAGGGCTTTCGCTACGTATTACAATCACATAATTAATCTACCGGTATTAAATCTCATCTCTCGAATCTCGACTTAACCATTTATAATTAACATGCCTATTGAAACTAAGCCTAAACATCAACTCTCATCTCTCGAATCTCGAATCAATATTCCTAAACTCATACATAAAAGACCTGCGCAAGTCTAGTTGCATAGCATTAAATCAATCAATAAGAAATTAATTAGGCATTGACAATCGACAACAATAAATTACCCCTTCATATTATTTATTGTAATACCCCGTATTTTAATATATTTTATAAATTATTCATTTATAAAATATATACCTTTTGAGTCAAATTATTTTTAATTATGGGATTTAAATAAATTGAGTTTTAAATTTGGTTAATACTCAGTCTACCAAATTACAAATTATATATATACAACAAGCCCAATCATTCTTTTATTTATTTGGGCCAATTATTTCACCCTCCTATTATCTTTTATGAGGCCCAAATATCGCAAATCTACCCTATCTATAAATACCTTTTCGATCCCAAAATTTGTCCCACTTTAACGTCAAAGGGTCAAGATTTATTTTTATTTTCTCTTTTTCCTTTTCCTTCTTTTCTTTCCCCTTTCCTACCTTACGTGAATGGCGGCAGCCCCAAGTGTGAGGATTTGCAGCCGCCGCCCCTCCATAACCGACATCACTGCCAACCGGAGATCCAGGCCACCACCATTAGCGCCACAGCTTCTTCCTCCTCTTTTCACTTCCCACTTCCTCTATTCCTCCTTTTCCTTTTCTTTTTTTTCTTTCCCTTATTTTGTTGCTTCTGCTCTTCCACCGTCGAGAATCGGTGCCAGCCAGTCGGCCGCTGGCTGTCCAACACCCTCACCACCGTCATCTTCATCATCACCCTTATACTCTCCCTTCTTTTTGTTTAATTTTGCTTTAAATTGTATAATTATATATAGGGTTTTTCTATGTTATAACCCTGTAACTTTCCGTTTTCTACGATACGCCCCACCTTTTTGAGAAATCCACATTGTAACCCCAAAATACAATCAGTGTTTATACGGTAACCTTGTCGTTTTCTTTCCGTTAACAAATTTCGTTAGTGGGGCCCACTCACAACTTAGTAATAATTTTTTATCGATTTGCATATTGAAAATGGTTCTATTCAAGGTTTTGGGGACTATTTTGGTGTTTAAAGGTCCAAACTGACCTCAAATTTAGCAAAAAAATAACATAAATACCTCATTTTGCGTATTTAAAAATGTCTCGATTGGCATGTTTACGTATTTAATATGCAAAACGAGGTATTTATGTTTTTTTTTTTGCTAAATCTGAGCTCAATTTCGACTCATAAGAACGAAAATAGCCCCCAAAAAAACCTTTAACAGAACAATTTTTAACACGCAAATTGATAAAAAATAATTATTAAGTGGAGAATGGATCCCACTAACAGAATTTGTTAACGGTGGCATAACGACAAGGTTACCGTATAGAAAGTAAATATATTTTGGGGTTACAATGTAGATTTCTAAAACAATGGGGGGCACATCGTAGAAAACGGAAAGTTAGAGGGTTATAATGTCAAAAAACCTTTATATATATATTAGTATTTGTTTTGGATTTTTATTATTGAATTTTGTTTAATTAGTATCAAAAATTTTACTTTGGTGATTATAAACTAAAATTTCAAATTATTGGTTTGATTTTATTATTCATATTTCATACTTTATAAGGTTTGGATTTTGAAATAATAAAGATGAGATTTTTAGGGTACTTTCACAAATTGATTTGGGGGTTTTGAATACCCATTAATTTTGATAATTAACCAAGTATAAATATACTACCTCCGGTTCAATTTACTCGCAACAATTTCCTTTTTTGGGTGGTTCAATTTACTCGCAACAAACTTGTTTCTTTCCTTTTGTACTATGTTTTTGGGTGGTAATTGACCAATATACCCTTACTTTCACTAGTAGAAAAATACAAAAAGGCAACCCCCTAATGGCACTGGTTCAAGCCAAACCGGTGCCAAAAATCGGCCCAAAATTGGGCGGGTTTTTAAACAAAAGGAAAAGGCACCGGTTCAACTCAAACCGGTGCAAAAATAAAAAGGGCACCGCTTTGAACCGGTGCCAAATGAACCGGGGCATTTTCAAAAAAAAAACGCGCCCTTTATTCTTCTCCTTCCTCTCTTTCTCTTTCATTCCTTTCTAGATATCCCCGACTTCACTGTTTCATTAGAGACGAACAACCTCCTCCTTTTCACTCCACCACAGCCGTCACCTTCACCGACCACCAAGGGTG